ATTTTGCCACCACTCGTACGTCGCCCTCCAGGTAGACCACCGACCCGACGTAAGCGTTCAAGACATGAGTCTGCATGGTCGAGCAGGAAATGCACTCGTTGTGGTCGTCTTGGTCATAATCGGAGCACATGTTCGAACCCCAATGTATCACACGTTCCCTAAACGTTGTTATTGCAATCGACGTTGTATGTTCAATGTTCCTTAGTGCCCTGCACCTTACAAAGTTATGTTATAAATAGGCGAATGGAATTGTAAATTAGGACGTTGTCCTTCTCTTGTTGTCGTTGGACTGCGTGCATCATGAACCCCATTTAAAATTTTTAAGTTCAATATTCATGCAGTATATTATAATTTCTAAAATCGTCCACCACGGAAAGAAATCAGCTCTAAATAAATAGCATTTCATATCATCCAGCAAACGTTGTGCAAAATATAGGTGTAGGTTAATTTGTCGATCCCGACAGATATAAATCTGTAATTCTCGACAGTTCGACCGGACTGGACTGGACTATACACAAAATACACTACCCGGATTACGGCGAAAGGAAATGTTCATGCAGACATTTTCGTTCTGTGTTAACCAACTGCATCCCTACAAAAGATTGGACTGTACACTACTTATTCACCACACTCCACGGCCGGCATTTCACTCGTCGTCGACAACCGAACTTGCTCCCCCGCCGTCTTCACCTGACTCGTCAGACGAGATGATAATGATCTCGTTCGCTGGGACGTACACCAGCCCATCGTCGTCCTCAGAATCCCCCTCGTACGCAGTGTCGACCGAGAGCACAACATCAACCACATCGTTCTGTGACAAACCATCGTCACTCCCTACATCTTCCAAGTTCGGGAAGGGAACAGGGGAAATGGCTCTCCTACCCATACGAAGCTCAATTTCGTCATCGTCTGACGAAATGTAGATTGGAAATAACGGAGAGGAACCGGGAACCGGCATCGGCTCATCAATGTTGAACGGTTCGGTGCTTCCTGTGGACGAACTCATTATGCTTAGTAGTAAAGTATTGTTGAAACGAAATCTGTCTTTGAGAGCCACAAATTCCCACAATGATATTCCACTAAGCTGTCTAGAAGTGTGAACAATGTGACACTGTATTTATAAGCAAGTTGAAGAGGAAATGCAATTATGGTCATCATCTACCCAACCACCTAGTCCAATCTCCTTGTTAATTTGAAAAGCAATTGGTGTGATGGTTCAATAAATTTATGGTACTGTTATCCCCCATTTCCCCATAATTAGTAGGACAATTAACACTCTTTATTATCTCTGTATAATTCAGTACATATACATTCCTGCACCTGAAATGCCTCTGTGCAAAGTATTCCCAGCAATTGTGCCATCTTTGTAACTGTAGTGCTTCAAAAAAATGGGATTACATTATATTCACACACGTGGTATACCGAGCATAGTTCTTACCAAAAATTTTGAAAACTGGTTGTAAGTTTGTATATATGCTTCATAACAATGCCAATTTAACAACGATGTCAACACTTAGCATAGAAGACAAGAAATTCTGCAGTTATTATCAAAATAAAAATTGTAATCACTATAATGTCCATCTTCTAGAGTAGATTGCAGTTCAGTTCCCATTTTACATGGGTGGACTTTCTTGGTGTCATCTAAATGATGTTCTAACCTGGAAACAAGGTGTACTTTAACGAGAATGCAAAGATCATTTTCTAAATTTCAGAAAACTGCTTATCATGTCAATGTAGGTTCCCACTGTTCACGTAACAGAAGACATAAACAAGGTATTAGACAATGTCATAACTTAAGGCAAGGCAAAATGTGGGACCCTTGTCAAAATTCCAAAGCACATGTCAAACGAAAATGTAAAGCGTCAATGTTAGAATAAACGTAAAAGCAAGTGAGTAATTGTTTAAGTCTACTACATTCACCATCTGCACGCCTCGGCGGGTAAGCAAAAGCCAAAAACAAGGCCATCCCGCCGCTTCATTCACAATTACTTCTTCAAAGTCTTTCCCCTCCCCCTCGTGTACGGAGTCCTCGTCGCAGGAGCGGGACGTCGTAGCCGGGCGGAGCGCCGTCTCGTCGTAGAAACTCGACCTCTTC